ACTCTCGCAAGCTCCAAGGAGCTAGTTGCTAGCTTTCGTGACAGCCCGTTACCCTGCACGTGATGGGAAAATCTGATGATTTGGTTTGGGCAACACAGAATGACCAGTGATGTGGAAGCGGAAGATCCGAATTTTTTAAGCCAAACAAGTACAGTGAGATGGGGACACCTGAATAGCTTCAGGCCGACAGCTTTGAAAGAAAGACAACACACGGCACCACAGGGCATGAAAGAAATGAACTGACATTTATGGGACGAGCACCCCATCAGGCGGAAACATCTGAATCAGCGAAAGGATGCGAAAAGGCAGGTTCTGGGTGCACTGCGAACATCCCCAACAAATGTGTCCCGCCACCAGACCATGGAGGAGGGGAAAGAGCGGGAAAGATCTGAATGCCCCCTGCCAAATACAGATTTCCGGTAGACGTATGCTCTCCCAACACACCATGCGGGGTGAGCAGTGAGGCGGCCTTCTCCATCGGGAAAAAGGGGACCCTCCCCATTGGGAAAGGAGAAATTTATTTTGTCAGTTTGTAAAGGTTTGATTCGATGAGAGATAGAAAGGTGAATTTGTGGCCGTTGCTTATGGATGACTAGGAGAATCAAAGGGTCTTACATGTAATGCACTAGTACCGCAACAATGTCAAGGTTTTCGGGCTCAATAAAATCTGACCCGAGATTTTGGGGTGCATTTACTAATTTACTCTTCTCAAGGCTTAGATAGGCTTAGGTAATGATTTTTACAGGAATGGCCCGGGCCCCGCTACAACTACTCGAGCAGCCTGTCAAGGAGTGAGGGTGGGGGCAACCGGCCATGCCCGACCAAGGGCCATCGGCTGCCGACGACTGACGACATGCTGCAATGGGGGACGAGTGCGACTTTCCTGGACTTCAATGATGCTTTTGATGTAGTGTCCACCATCAGCATTGATAAAAAATGACACTTCGTACCACATCTTCTTGTCATGAAAGGTAATGCCTCAATCGTTTGGGAGCCTTCACCACAACTGGTTGGCCATGCCGGAAACATTCAAACGCTTCACGTCACGTATTTGACTAGCAGCCAAGACGCCTTTGGAAAGACTCGGCGTGGGTCACGTACTTCTCCAGCCAATGTGGATGCACTGTCCCAATAATTCAAATTCCAGAAAAGAACATTCCTTCACATTGCGCAGCTTTCGAATTCAAACAATTAGGGCGGTAATTTGCTGTTGTTTCGTGGATCATGCAATCCTATTCAAGTCCAAGGTTCAAGTACTTCTGCCAATCTATTTCCTGCGGTCCTGGCCTTAGTGGCAAGCTGAGGACCATGGCAAATAAGAATGAACATTGCGTAAAACAGCTCCTTGACGGACAAGACATATTTCATTGCAGCACGGTAGCACAACAAGGAGGTTCGCCTGCAACACGGTATTCTTACCCACGTGGCGCGCAAAGCAACAACATCTAGGAAAGGGTTTCGGCGACACATGGGCAAGCTTCTTGCAGCCTAGGCACTACCTCCACTTCAGGCAGGCCAGCTGGCACTATGTACAGAAAGGGCATAATGGTAAACACTGCCAACCCGACAGCTGACCTGAGTTGTTGGCGGGGAAGCTGCTTGACCCCACGCATATTGCACACGAAGAGCACGCATGGTGTACAAAACCCTGTGTCCAGGCAACGGGACAGTCCTGTCAAAACAATAGCACGTCGGCGCAGCGAAAACTGAGGTGCGCGGCCAACCCATGATGTCCAAGCCGATGTAATTCAACCATGACAGCGTCAATGCAAACGCAAGCGCGCACAGAGAGCCTCAATTACCGAAGCACACCGACATGGCGATTTACGGACGGATGGAGCTGAGGCACGCGGGGCTCCCTCCGCAGCCGCTGGAAACACATGCTTCAAATAATCGCAGAAAAGAACCTGACTTGCGCTGCGCAAACCAAAAAAAACAGCTCCCTATCCAGCTTGGCCGTGAGGGGCTGGCCGAAAGCAAAGTCAGGTGCCGGCAGGGGGCGTATACACAGCGTGCACTGAGAAACGTGTTGTAGTGTATGATGCTGTCGTTTTACGTAATTTAAGTTGCTTGGGCTCAGGACGAACTAGCGTGTTTCAGAAGTGAAACAACTCAGCAGAAACTCCTTGTTGCTCCCATCAATACTCATGAGTACACGTCCGAAACTGTATTATTTACGGTCGTTGTTTGAAGTGAAATAGGAAGCCTTAACCACAGAGTTCCAGTCCCTCATACAAATATGATATCGGCACCTGTGTGTGGCTTTGTTAGTTCATGCGTAAGTACGACAAAGAACCAAAGCCAGGAACTCATCGTCCGATGTTCCCAAGAAATCCCTGTCTGGCAGAGCCTACGTGTCTGCTTACATCCTCGGATTTGATGCGAATGCTCCTGCTCAAGGTGCATTTTCAATGCAACATCCCATAAGATGTCTCAACACTTTGTATGGGGGGCTCTTTTTGATCTGAACCGTAACCCCAGCAGGACCCCAGGATCTGCTTCCACGTGGCCAAAATACACCCGATTTAATTTGAATTGTCATTTTAAATGATTTTTTTCTCAAATTGGTACTTGCAACGTCTTGCAACATATTTTGTTCGGGGCTAGCGTTTGGCACGGAACACTGAGATGTGACTGCTTACTACAACCCCAGATAAAGGTTTACATACATCTCTTTACTATTTTGCTCCATTCAGCCCACATAGTTGGTTAACAAATTCCTTGAACAAGGACCCCACAAAAACAAGGCGAAGGAACGGGATAAATCGAATTGTCGCTCACACCGGCCACCCACGAGAGGAAGCCTTCCTGACAGTACAACATGAGGGTTTTAAGCAGCAAACTGATTGTGAAGCCCGCAAGAAAATTCAAAGCCCGCATGTCACCATCGACATGACAAACACCCAACCGCGTCCAATTCACATGCTCAATGAACCAGCAAAAAGAGGAGCTCATTGCTGTGCACCCTGCATGTTCGATCGTGTGTTTGTGCATGGGGCTTCAAATACTTGGTGTGAATGATTTTTTTTCCTTCCACGTCCCCATCAGGGGCGAATCTTCCACGTGCAATTCAGGCACGAGAAATCCCCAGAATGGTCCAAACGCAGCCTCAGCTGACAAAAACGTTGCCTCCTCGTACCATGCACAAATTGTTGCCCTCTTTGGCGCAGGCTCAATGGGTGCATCAATGGCCAAGGCACACTGACCCAAGTCACATAACCAGCGTTGGATGGGAATGCTGTTGCGAGCTCTGCAGCTACAAGTGCCTTACGCGAGTGGAGCAAACAAATTGCATATGGAAAGCTTGACATGTGTGACCATAGTTTATGTGCCTCTGGGACAGACCAAACAGCCGGCATCAACACGAAACCCAACACGCCGAGCAATGGACCTGCCGCAGGAAATCTTGGACTACAAAAAAAAATCGCAAGCAATCGCAGTGAAGCGTAACCTCCCAAACTCTTTAAAGACATGTTTCCAGAATTTGCAAGCAAAGCTCGCTAGTAACGTGTGTGGGCCATCCCGCAAGTCCAACCACGCCAGCTCCCGTGCACAAGGCAGGGCATCTCGGCTCAGTGTAGCGGCAGCGAACAAACCAGCGATCGTACTTGAGAACGTGTTGCTGGTGGCGATGCAATGGGGTAGAGCCTGGTGGGGTTCACGGCCGCCCCCGCCAGCATGCCGAGACGCAACAAAACTAACACAGTTGGCGGCATGCACACAGCCCGCGCGCTTGGAACTGCGTTGCGCATTTGCGCCAACCCCATTCATGAGACCAGCGTTGTCGGCAGCAAAGTCCGCCATTGTGAGCAACTGCATGGCCCAGGAAAGCTTTTCGATTTTTTGTCCGCGAATTTCTGTGCTTGCATGCTGTTGTCCGGTCGGGTTCCTGAGACTCATCAGCCGCGTTGCGCTTGTGGGCGCACCCCGGGGCTGGCAAAACGTCCCAGAAGTGGCTCAGTGCCATCTCGTTCGTCGGCCGCCACCAAGCTTAGCAGCGACATCGCATCATTTTCCGAGGAGCAGAACTGAGCTTCCGACGAACAAACGTGCAGGAATGCAATCACGCACAAGCACAGGTATGTACAAACATGCTGTACGAGGTGCAATTGGGGCGCCGTGCTTTACGCAAAATATCTGAGAGTTCCAAAAGCAATTAACTCGACAAGCCGCAGCCTGGTGTGATTCACTGGAAGAAGGACCTTTTGGCAACGGCTTGAGCGTGGACTTCTGTAGGTGATCGAGATTATGTGTGTCAAACATCGCTCCATGTCCGTTAATAGCCCTAACGAGCGTTCTTGTAAAATTCGACAACCCTATCCAGTTTAGGACGTCCCACACGCTTATTGTGAACTCGTCTTGGATGAAAACTGTCGTTGTCGACCGTCATCTGGTTCATAAGATGTGCTGAAATGGAAATGGTAATTGCTATCGTAATTCTAACAATAATACTGCTTTCACAACGTATCTTGCTTGCCCTCCCGCACCGCCGCAACTGCGAGGCACCACAAATTCGCAACATATGTGAAAAGCATTAATTTTTCTGCGTTCGGATTTGCCAACCACGCCGCAAACAGCGAGTAGAACACGCGATGCGATACAAGGGGCAAAAATCTGAATCTCTTGACGGAGTGTCAACGTTGAGTGATTCCATACGCGGCTCAGGCATCAAAATCTCGCTTTGCCGTGCCAAGCCGTCTCTTTATTTCACTGCCCGCCGTTTGCATGAGGGAGGCTCCCCACATACACAATGGAATCATTGGCTTCAATCGCCTGTCCCTCCGGTCCAAACACGTTGACTCGACGTTGGACACCTTGACATTGCAAGGAGTTGGCAAAACCTCCGTCTTAATCAATTTCATCTTCAAACCATATCCTATCCCAACTTATGGTTGGGCATGCTCCTGATGCAGTGCAACCAGGATTGTGTCATTTGCACAAATCAGCTGGTTGACGGGGGCATCAACGGCGAGTTGCGCACCATGCCAGAGGGGCAAAACGTTGCACACGACCTCAATGCGCCTGGCATCCTGCACGGGTGCATCGGCATTCATGTCAGCCAGGCGAATGTTCCGTTGGTCGCCGCACGGCGGTGCATGAGAGCTCACATTGTTTCTTCCCAGGGGCACACTGGGATTGCTTTGCTACGCCTTTTTGGCTGATGTGGCTACACCGTTGATGGATGTGTCTGAGTCTAATCAATCAATGCCATGTTCATGTTTCATGATGGTCAAGCTACTTGATTCATAGTTTTTTGCCCTCGCGCCTTTTGGTCCCCGCTTCCCCACCGGCCATGCACACAAATGCGGGCTGCCCCATCCGGCGCAACCCTCTGTGCTACGCTGTCCAACATCGTAATTCCACGGCTCAATTCTTGCCGTGCCTGCGCCTAGACTCCATCCTGGTGAACTGGCTCTCAGCACTTTGCGACCGGACCGTGAACGCTTGCCGGGACAACATTGTAGGGGTCGCTCCCGTATGGTGACTTGGCATCTCCATGGCGGGTAGGAGGGAATAGCTGCGAGAGGCAGCGGCCCGCTCACTACCGGAGCCCATTGAGGTGGACGATGACATCCTGAACACGGAAGGGGCCGGTGGCAACGCAGCCGCATCGCCAGCAAAGAGAACAAGGTGGGACGAAAAGCCGGCTACAGCTCCTTTGGCCCTGGCAAAGCTGACAGCGGTACCAGTACCATGCAATCTATGCAGCATGGACTCCAGGATGTGGGAGCCAGGATGACAGCTGTCGAGGGACATGTTACGACTAAGGTGGGCGAAGCTCTTGACATGATAAAAGCCGTGAATGAACGCCAGCAAGCTCAGATGGCCAGGCTGCAGGAAATTCAGATCTCGATTGACGAGCAAAAGGAGAAAGGAAGGGCCCAGGATGACACCATCCGCGAAATCCCACGCCGAATCGACTTGCTCGAGGCAAAACAAGCTGCACCGCCCGTGTGGCGACCGCAAAATTTCGAGGGAGAGATTGACGGCCCTAGGGCACCAGCGCTCATACTGGGCGGGTGGGACGACACAACGGATGATGTAATTAGTACAGAAAGCAAAGGCCTTCGCAGGGGAAGCCAACCTTGACGTAATTGCTTCGCACCGGGCCGACAGCGGAGGTTTGGTTGTGATCCCCCTTGTGCCATGGAGCGGCGAAGACAGACTCAGGATGTCTAGAAACTGGGCAGAGCCAGCGGAGACGCGGACAAGGATGGCCGGAGACGCACTTCTGTGGATGGCGTTGAGTGAATCTCCCGAACAGCGTAAAGCGAATTAAGCAGATTGCCAAGACCAAACGGTGCAATGGAAACAGCAGAAAAAGCAGGCAAGGCCGACAACAAAGCAGGGTCACTGTGGATGGGCAGACAACGCATTGCAGGAGTCGGACCACCACCCACTGGGGTTGAGGCGGCTACGTCGGACCATGGTTGGTTGGATGCCAAGTTCGTGGCAGACAAGCTGGGAGAATCCGAAGAAGCGCTGGTTGTCAAGTGGCAGCCAAGACCCCATGGCGACGGTGGGCTGATGGAGTGAAGAGGAATCTGAGGAAGCAAGTGACCCTACCAGCGGGCCGATGCCAGGCTGGCAGGTGGGGGCACAAATTGGACGTGCTGATGAAGGTTGCTTATAAATTCACTGGAGCAGTCGGTGATGCAAGTTCTGTCTCAAAAGCATGCCCCTTGTCGCAACGGCCGGCACGGTCACACTGAGCGCGGAAGCGATTTTCTGCACAACCACGGGCACATGCTAGACCCTCAGAGGGACGATGGGGGGTGTACCAATGGCGCAACAGCAGGACAGGGGAGGCACACAGACGCTGTACAGACAAAGACAACGCCGGGTTCAGCTGCGCAAATTTGTTTGGATGGCTTCCGTTGATGGAGCTGCCTGAGTGCAACAACAACGGCGAGACCTCACTGGGATGCGTGTTGCATGTGACTCACTCGCATGTGACACAAATGAAGAGGAAGTGAAATATGGGAAGAATGGGGAGACGCAAATGGCAGGGAACCCGCGGGTTTCGATAAGAGATCGTGATGAATGCCATCGCAGCCAAGTGGATACTTTGCCAAGTGTGGCTGAACGGCGTAGGCCGGAAGCGGACTGACGTCGGAGAGGTAGACCAGTGCCTCGACATCGCCAAGTGGAAGGTTTTGATGTGCGCAACAGGCATACCAGAGGCCGCAGCAGAAGCCGGAAAAAAGAGCAAGCCGAGCCGGAAGGGAAGTGAGAGCTAGAAGACCTGCACGCGTGCTGACGCGGAATGTTGGGGGGTTGCAACCGGACAGAGTAGCGAGGTGCTGGGGTTGTTGCCGGCCATGGGGTTGGAGCATGTGCAAGTCGTTGCTTTGCAGGACGTTTCCTGCCAGGTACGCACCCAAGTACGTGAATGGCAGATCACCATGGGAAAGCAGGCCCTCTGGTGGAGAGGCAGAGCGGTGGCGATCTGCAAACCTTTCGGGAAGATCACTTACAAAGAGGTGGGCACGCATGCGCTTGGAGTGGATAGTCAAGACCCCTAGTGGGAAAGTGGGGATTACCAATGTGCATTGTCCCCCCAAGGCCACACTTTCGGAAACGGGGGCCATAACCAAGAAGTGGGGCGACATGACCCCCATGAGGTCGGCATCCCAAGTTCTTTTCGGGGGACCTTAATGAGACCTTTGAGCAGTTGGACAGGGATACGGAAGGGGCAGACGGCCTCAGGCACAAAACCTCCCGCGGAGCCTTGCTGCTACAGTGGTGGCGTGAACAGGAAATGGACCCCCCAGCTCAAGACATCCAAGCCCCCACTTACCACCCCTATAACCTTCTGCGCCTACCGCGGAGACTTGACTACATCTTTTTGTCAGGAATGCACAGTGGAGAGCGGGGTGGACTGCATGATGCAGTTGCGGCACTGCGAGAGGATGCAGGTGCAGCACAGGCCAGGAAAAGGGAATACCCGCGACAACTCAGGGATAAAGACGAGGTTGCGGAATACATGGAGAGCAATCGAGGGAGGAAGGGGGACAGCCTACAGAATTTGCAGTAGGCCGCCAGACAGATCACGGAGCCCAGACAGAGCCGTTCAAACATCATGAAAGCCCGGAAATTCGACAGCTGAGAGCCAGAGCGATGAGGGTTAGACATACACTGGAGGCGCGAGCTCTATGGAATCAAGTCTGGAGATTGAAGAAAAAACATCAAGAAACATGGCAATGCTAAATGCTGCAGGAGGTGCTAAAGAACCTCAAGGATTCAAGGACCACTTCCAGGGCATCTTCTGCAAACAGGACAGGAAGCAAGTTCAAGACAGGGTCCATCACATTTGGAAGCAACTTGAAAGGCAATGCAAGTGGCACCCATGGGAACC